GCCGAGCCGGGGGGTCCCGGGGCCGGGGAGGGCCGCGCAGGGGGTGGGAGCTTCGGGAGCCTGCGGGCGGCCCTTCGAGGGGAGGGGATCGGGACGTGGGTCTTAAGCCTTTGGCTGCGGCTTCGTGTCTCCGTTTTAGTTTCGCTTCGCTGTTGGCTGAAGTCGGGGTTTGCTGCAGCCCTGCTGGGGCCCCACAGCCGCGCGTCAGCGGGGCGGCGGGGCTTTGTTTTCCTAACGGCTGGTGACCGTCAGCGGAGGCTGGGAAGGATGTGGCCCGCTGAAATCTCTCCAAGTGGTGTCTTTTAAAATCAAAATGCTTCAGAGCTTGTCAGAAATAGTGGAACTTCAGACCCTGCAGTTCATTGTATAGTTTTCCTGTAACGTGAGTTTGCTGTCTGCTAGGAAAGATCAGGAGTTTACAAATCATTGCATCTTTCTTTCCTGTTAGAGCTGTGGCTCTTACGGCACCTCCAGAGTCATTCCCATCGATTCGGTGGGAGCAGAGACACCTTCCATGTCAGTGAACAGGTAGAAAAGGGACATTTGGACTAAGCCTACAAACTGCCTACTTACAAATCTCAAAAGTGGTGTGACTAGGCACGTTGTAAGGGGGAAAAAACATGGTAAATTACTGCCTTAGCTGAAAATTAGTTGGCTATGCAAATGAAGTTTAGAGCATCTCCAAATTATTGCAGGAGTGGCCTGACCTGGTGGAACCCTCCTTCTTGTGGCAAGAAATAAGTCATTCAGATGAGCCAGGCTGTATTTAGATGTCCGGAAGGATCATACAGGATCACCTTATTTTGCTTAAATGGTATTGTATAATCTCAACTTTTCTGAACATGTATTCACACAAAAGTTGAGACCTGGTGATTATACTGGTGGCTGTAGTACAGGGTACGTAGAAGCAGATTCTGGTTTAGTCTGTATACTTTGGCCTGGCAAACAAAATGAGAGGATGGACCTTTGAACTGACACCATTTTTAGACTTTAGAGAAGTACAGAATGTAACTGCTGGTCAACAGGAATTACTTAATTTTGGTTTTAAGCCCATGGAGCTGGCAGTGCTGGCTTTAGTAAGATATTTCCTAAGCTGGGAATTCATTTATCAGTTATGAAGTAAATCTATTTCCTGATCAGCAGGAAAAATTGCCTCTTTATCAGTCAAAACAACCATATAGTGAACTACAGAGCCTTTGATTTCATCAGAACATTTATATTATGTGAAACAGTTTTTCTGCTAGAATCTACTCTAGTCTTCTCTTAAAAAAATCCATAAACTTTAAAGAATGGGAGTGGCACTCCTTAAAATTTAGAACTGTTCCCTCCCTCTCCCCAGGTTTCTGACTAACCTACTAAGAAGGCGGAATGGAGATTAATTTTAAGTAATTGTAGGATACTGGAGTTTGACTTTTAAGCCCAGCCTTGAAACAGAGCGCTGTCTTTATGGAGATCTTTTTATAGTTGCTTATTAATGTGCTCAAAATACCTGCTTGCAGTGAAGTTTCTTGGTCATTGAAGGTGATGTTCTAGGAAAGCTTTCTTGGCAGTCAAGCCTATTTATCAAAGGCATTCTATTAAAAGCTTCAAAAACTTCTATGTGCTTCTTGTTTACCTGCATGATTCAACAAAGCTTTTCTGGAGCTTCACATAGGACATCCTCAGAGATGGGATTTGGCTCCTGTATTAACAAAGAAGTTCTGAAAGAGTGGTAGGGACAAGGAGCCCAGTCTGGGGGGCACAGCCCTGTCCTTACAGCGACAGCCCTTCTTGTTTCTTCCCTCTGGTCTTTTTAATTTCACTCTGGGATAGGAACCATGAGTAATTACTTTGCATTGGTAAATATCTGTTCGAAAGGAAAGCGTGATGACTTTAAGTTGTAGCAGCCTTGGCTCAGAGTGAAATCTCAGAGGAGGGAGGTGATGGAAGCAGCCTGTATATACTTTCCCCAGCAGCAATAATAATGCCTGCTCCTTTCCCATTTATGTACGTGAGTGTCAAACAGACATACACGCTAAATTCCCACGTATGAAACACGTACTGCAATGCAAGTATTCACAGGTGTTACTGGGCACCTGTTGTGTGCCAGGGTTACAGGTATTTGCAGGCAGCGGGGCTGCTGCTGTTGGACTGGAGCATGGCATGCTGGTAGCTGTAGTTTCTCTGGGCTGTACGAAGGCATGAAGGGGAGGGCTTTTGCAGTTTGTTGCATCATGCAAATAGGGTGCCATCAGCTTACGCTGATGTGTCCTTCTCCTTGGAGAAGGAGAGTATAAATACCAGTAGAGTGTACAAGGCACAATGCTTAGATGCTAAACTGTTGGATAAGCCTAGTATTCTCTGCCTCATAACCTTGTGAGAAAGAATAAGGCTTTAGTCAAAAGAGCCACATGTGGCAGTTCTCCTTTGAACATCTGTCTCTGACGTTTCTGTTTAGAGGAAAGTGGAGACAAAGGCGTATAAATAAAGGCAATAGTATGAAAATGGATGTTGCCGGAAGAGGGAGACAAAGCAAAAAGCCGTGTGGCCAAGATGCTTGTTTTTACCTGTGAACAACCTATGTGTAAGGCTAAAGCAGAGAGGTATCAGTTTACTTAAGGGATTACTTGGTTGAGGGGGAATCAGTCATCTGTGGGTTTCTAACCTAGACCAAAGGTTATTTCCTTCTAGTTGTTACTCATTGTAAAATTAGACAGCGTCTTCCTTGAGCTAAGCGTATGCCCGGATGCTGGCACTTAACAAGGAGCCCTGCTGGCGTTGCAACCCACAGAACCTGAGAAGTTGAATAAGCTTGGTGGAACTAAGTTTAAAGAATTTCCTTCCTGTTCAGGTCAGCTGGTGGCAGCTAACCCAAGGGTACTGAGGCATTTTTGTAAATAAAATGTTTGCTGTAATTCTAGGCCCATCTTGACTCTTTATCAAGAATGATTCTAAAGGTGAACACTGTCCTAAGCCTTAGCAGATCTCAGGTAATCACCAGAGGCCCTCCTGCAAAAATGAGGAGATGGTGGTCATCAGATGACAGCCCTTAGACATGTCAGGAGCTGAGTTCCAAGGTCCCGGTTTCCCCCTGAAATTACAGATTCCTGACAGGAAACCTTGCCTCATAATTTCTGCTCTACTTTAGGCTCTGGTGAGTCAACTGTTGCTGGCATTTGGAGCTTGAGAGGTAAGGGTATGAATCTCCAAATGTTTCATGAATGTTACAGATAGTTTGAGATCTTGCAGGAAGAATCCCAATTCTGCTGCAGCAGGGCAGAACTGTGAAGCTCTTACTGTTTGAACCCTGAATCTAAGACGTGGCTCTGGTGGCTGTTCCTCTCCTCTCTAGAGATATTTAGGTATATAGTCATTAGAACTAATTCCTATACTGCACAGAGAACCATGCTGATGATCTGCTTTGTTTCCTTTCCTAACAGGCCAGTGAGCCTAACGCCTCCCATTAGTTCCCGAATGTCTTGCAATAGTCGATACCAGAATTCTTTTCCAGTCCCATAAGGCAAATGTAGGTGCCTTATTTGACAGCTCTCCTACAACATCAGGATATATATTTCCTTGCACCTTTCTCCAGGGGTCGCATAGAAAAAAACTTCTTTTCACATTAAAAGATGATTTGATTTCTCTTGGTATTTAAATGTCAGCATTTTCTTCACTGAGAAAAAGATGTATTTTTTTTAATGCAGTATTTTATTGCCCATATCAGCCAGGTTTT